TGTGTGTGTGTGTGTGTGTGTGTGTGTGTGTGTGTGTTCAAATCATCTTCTATCAAGTGAGGTATTTACAGTGTTAAGGAGATGACTAAGTCTTAGTCTTAGTCTTAGTAGGTTTGAGATGCCCATTTTCCACTGGAGGTTCCTGGGCTGTGTAGGTGGGCCTAAGGATAGGGAAGCAGGCTATGTGGGCAGGGTTCCTCAAGGAAAATTCCTGGAAGCTGTAGGTAGAGCTAGTGCTGGAGTCTATGGTCTTAATTGTTATATGTGTGTGCCTTCTTGTCTGTATGTTCATCACATGTATGTAGGTGTGACTAGATTAGAAGAGACTATAGGATCCCTGGAACTAGAGTTACTCATTCTCTTGCAAGAAAGCTGGCCAAATGTATATAGTCCTCAGAAGGTAAAGTTCAAGGAATATAGAATTCAGACAAAACTTTAAATCCTGCTGCATGTTGGACTATAGAGTTGTCTGGACCTGGAATCTCCACACTCACATCCTTAGGAAGTAATTATGTTTGGAATGCATTAAAGTTCAAGTTGTACCCTCTCTGGTGAAGTAAAGTTTTCAAATTGCTGATCAGTTGATGAGTGAAATGAATTAATGAAGTAATTGAATATTTAACAATTTGGGTAATGTTTGTACTTCTATATGTCACATTTTGAGAGGTTCTAGTAAAAAAAAAAAAGCCCTTGATGTACTTCAGGAAAACTTTGATGACTCCATTCAGCCTAGTCTTGTCTATCTACGTTTGCTCTCTGAATCCATAATTCCAGGTTGCCCATATGTGATGGGCTTAGTATGGGTACATGTTAGTGAAAACGCTTAGAATTATGAAAGATTGATGATGCTCATAGATAACCAATCAGGAAAGAGTTAGCTATTTCAGGAGAAAAGGGGTATTTTTCAGAAGATCTCGAATAAGGTGAACAAGGGTCATTTATGTTATGCTGATAAGTATGTGTTAGTACAAACTCTTGACATTCACAGATGTGTATAAAAATGAGTGGAGTTAAGTGATCAAGTGATGTCCTGTGACCTTTCTCACTCCTTCGGTTACTTACAGTCCCCACTGTCCTTAGAACAGTTCTTTCTATGTGGTATAATAGTCTCAAATATCCAACAGGAAATGAGATTTTTAAAACCCCTGATATTTGTGTATCAAACATTATGAAAAGCCTGATGGGAATGCTTGCCTACTGTGCTTTGTTTATGTCTAGACTGATCACTGAGTTCCACAGAATAAAAGATCTTGCTTTCCTGAGGCACCTTTACCACTTAAACAAAAGTGTCAGTTTGCATATTTTATAAATGTCTAACTATATATGTTTCCTGTGATGGATCAGAAACCAGAATATGAGTTATATTTTATGACTAATACATGACTTCACCCACAGTAGGTATCAGTAAATGGTGATTAAACAATTATGAGTGTGAATAACTATCAAGGGAGTGAGGAAAAAGAGACAGGATAGGGCAGCCATGGCTGTATGCCACCTCAGATTGTGTGAGTGAAGGAGCTGGTATGGGGCATTGTGGAGAACACCCAAGGCATTTGGGCAAGGTAGCTCTCAACCTTTAAATCACTTGGAGGATGATTCTAAGAGGATAACCGCCCACTCAGCTAGCATTTAAATCCAAATGCCTCTCCTTTAATAACACATGTGAATGTTCAGAAGGTGATAAAAGTTGTGGCGTCTCCTTTCAGTTCATGCAAACTCAGTTACCGTCACTGGAAGCTCTACTCTGTGTTACTCTAAGGACCAGAGGACCACAACGTGATTTTTGTCAAAATCAGAAGCTTTACTGACTTCAACTTAAATTTTCAGAGACTCTGATGGTAAGAATGTTCAAAGAATAAAATGCCCTTTGCCTTATTTATACATTAGGATGTAGCGTTAATAGTTTAATATAGTAAAATATCATTTTTTTTCTAACAGATGAGCAAATCTATGTTACTACATTAAAGAAATGTCAATGACACAAACTGGTCCAACAATCATGAATATGGTCCTGTCTTGAGTGAAGTTCCATGGAAAGTAGGGTGCAGTTAATGTCATCATGTGTTCAGATCAAATTGGCTATGGTGTGAAGGTATATCCCCCAGGACTCAAGTTGAAATGTAATCTCCTTACGGTGGAATGAAGAAGTGTGACCGTGGGAAGGTGATCAAGCCATAAGTTTTGAGTAGGATCTTAGGGCTGGGAATCGAAGGGAGCCCCTCCCTCCCTGATGCCTTCTGCCATGTGAAGACTAAGCGTGAATGCATTTCCTTAGGAGCAAAGAGCAGAGAGCATCCCCATGCCACGCCCTGTGGACCTGACAGCTTCCAGAACTGTGAAAAACAGATCTTTTTATAAATCATCCGGTCTGTGTTATTGTGATAGAGCCACAAAAAGGGCCAACAACAAACTTATTTAGTAAGAGAGAAATAGGCCAAGTAGGCAGGGGTAATTCTCTCCATGATGTCTGTAGCGAGGAGAAAGTAAAGAAATGACAAGATTATCGAAAGCGTGATGGTGTTTTTGCTTTTGTGTGTTTTTATGAATAAGGGAAGATTGGTATTTCTACAGATTAAGGAAAGAGCCAGTCAAGGAAGAGATGAGTACTGGAGGAAAGGAGTTGGTTTCCATAGAAAGGTAAAGGGAGTGGGGGGATAAAGAAGCAATTAACAAGGCAATTCTACATAGTTTACCCGGTAGAGGTTCATTTGGGGGCAACTTACAACCAGTAAAAGGGTTGGTTACAGGATCCAGGAGAGGTGAGGTGCAGTCCAACATGGTTCTCTAGAGAACTCTGACTTGGTCTGCAATCCAGCATCCAGGATCACGAGGAGCCAAAAGAGGGCCAACATGTACACATCTCGGGTCTTAAAGGTCCAAAGAAGCCACACCCTAGGGGCAGGTCATAGGCAGGTGTAGCAGTTACCTGCTGCCTCACTAGGGGCAGTGCTTCAAGGTCAAAGGTGGAACAGCTACCCACTACAGGGGGATGAAGGTGTGTTGTGAGCAAGTCACAGCGAGAAGGAGAGGAAAAACAAAAGCCCAAAGTGTGCATCTCTTTTATAATCAGTGTTATTTTTCAGAGATGCGATATTAAGATACTTTCCATCCCTAGCTACACTTGTTATGTCCTAAACAACTATTTTTCACTTGTTCACTCTCATAATTATTAAAATAAAGCTCAGATTACAGTGGAAATTTCAGTAGCAAAAATGATTCCTTCTACTTAGAACATTGTACAATGAAAAGAGCAACATAAAATATACAAACCTGGAAAAAATAAACATACCAAGACATAAGAAATAAAAAGGGGACCATACAAAAGTAGAATTATTCAGAACATTTATTTAATGCTTTGAGAAACAGAAGACAATATAAAATTACAGTGCATTAATACAAAAGGCATACATGAATACCTATGTTTATAAGTTGTGCTATAGCAAATAGAATACCTAAATTAACATAGTACCTTTTTGAGAAGCTTATGAGAATGAAGCACAAATAAATTTACAGTAGTCTTCTGCAAACCCACAATAACAACAGCAACAAAAATGAAACCATCCCTAGAAGACATTTGCACACCTTCTCATGCAGTCCTCTCCCTTCATTTCTGTGCTGGAGGTGACTCAGGTTATCTGGCTTAATAAAAATAAGTCAGACAGACATGCCTCTCCTGAGGGGAGAGTGTGAGGGAATCAGGCTGCACTGTGCTCCAGCTACGTGCAAACTGGCTCCACACCTGAAAGCAGACTTACTCACTGTGCTCATCTTGACATCATTTGGGGGATTTTTGAGTGACTGCCTATGACAGCAGTGACAGGATTTCAGTGACTAAGAGACAGCCTGAGGAATTGCTAGCCTCTACTGCTTGATGAAAGTTTCTACATAATTGAGATCCACTTAACTTGGGGAAACATTTTAGGAGTTGCTGTAATTGAATCTCATTTATTTCAAATGTTATTGAAGCCACTAAACAAATGAATTATTAGGCCCTGACTATCCCCCATTTTCCACATGCGATTACTGTCAGAGCCCATGTGCTGCTCTCCCTGGGTCTCACAAGCCTGGATGGTCCTGTGAGGTTATACAAGAAAGATGGCCCTACTAATAGAATTTTTTTTCCCAGAATTTTGACCAGTTTCCAAAAGGCTTCTGCACCTGGCTTTAAACAAATCATTTTCTTCCACTGCTCCCTGTCTGTAATGCTTGCCACTCATAGAGCTTATTTAGAGGAAGCTTAGCTTCTAGGTGTTTTCTAGATCATCAGTGTCTTAGCTAGGGTTTCTACTGCTGTGAAGAGACACCATAACCAAGGAAACTCTTATAAAGGAAAGCATCTAATGGGGGTGGCTTACAGTTCAGAGGTTTAGTCCATTGTCATCATGGCTAGAAGCATAATGGCACACAGGCACAGGTGGTGTTGGAGAGCTAGCTGAGAGCGCTACATCTGGATCGGCAGAGAGCAGAAAAAGAAAGCTACGCTGGGCCTGGCTTGAGTATCTGAGACCTCAAAGCCCAACCCCAGTGACAAACTTTCCCCAACAAAGCCAAACCAACTAATATTGCCATTTCCTATGTTCCAGTGGAGACCATTTTCATTCATACCATCACATTCCACTCTCTGGTCCCCAAGGCTTGTAACCAAATCAAAATGCAAAATATATTTAGTCCAACTTCCAAAGTCCTCATAGTCTGTCACAATATCAACACTGTTTAAAAGGCCAAAGTTCAAAGTCTCTTCTGAGACTCAAGCAATCTCTTCACTGTAATCCCCTATAAAATCAAAATGAAAAACCAGATCACATACTTCCAACATACACTGGTGCAGGATGTATGTACATTACTATTCCAAAATGAAGGAAAGGGGGGCATAGTGAGGAAATATGGGGGAAAAAAACAAGACCAAAAACCAGCTGGATAAACTCCAAACTCTGCATCTCCATGTCTGATATCAACACACTCTTCAGATCTCCAACTTCTTTCAGGTTTGTTGACTGCAACATACTTCTTTCTCTTGGGCTGGTTCTACTCCCTGTTAGCAGCTTTTCTCAGCATCTATCTCATGGCTCTGGCATCTCCAACATCTTGGGGTCTCCAAGGCAATCCAGTATTCACCTTAACAGCTTCATGCAATAGCCTCTCTAGGCCTTCATACAGGGTCACCCTTGACATATGCCTGGCCTCGGGGACTTTCCTTAATTGCAGAAGGAAATTCCACAACCCCTTTTTTGTGTCCTTAAGTCTAAACCCAGAACCACGTGATCAAAGCTGCCAAGTTGTGTTGCTTGCTGGAGCTGGAACATGGTCCCATCATTCAAATACATTTTCATAGACCAGGCTGGCCTCGAACTCACAGAGATCCACTTGCCTCTGTCTCCTGAGTGTACCACCGTGCCTCGCTCAGCTTTCTGTTTTTGCTGGTTTCCTTCACTGCCTGAGTTTGGCTGTCCTGGAACTCACTCTGTAGACTAGACTGGCCTTGAACTCTAAAAACTGTCTGCCTCTGCCTCCCCAGTGCTGGGATTAAAGGTTTGTGCTACCACACCTGGCCCTAGGCTTTTTTTAAAATTCCTTTTCACAAGTTGGAATCTTTCCTGGGTGGGGTCTTTCCCTGAGGTCACCACTTCCTTGATCACACTTAGCATCTGGCTTTTCTTTAAACTTTTTATCTCTTTGAACACAGGATTTAGCTCCATTGTACTTCCTGGTGCCTCCTTTCTCCTCAAGCTCTACATTTGAATTTTTTTCTTCCCCAGCTTGCTCCTTTCCATTATAAATCTGCATAACGTGGCCACTAATAAACAACATAGTCAATATTAGCTGAAAATCCCCTTTGCCAAAGCTGTTAATCCACAGTCTTCAATTTAACCTTAGGTAGATTTTTCTGGACAAGGGCAGAAAGAAGCCACATTCATCACCAAAATTCACAAGATCAGTTTCTAGGATGTTGTGCCTGTGTCTTGAGACCCCTGAGCAAGACCACCACAGAGCCGATATCTGATGCAAAACACACGGGGGGTTATTGATAACAAGCAAGCTCAGGCTTGGTCCGTGTCCAACACTCCAGCACAGCGGGTAGAGGAGGATGGCCCTGAGCTCTCAAAGTGAGAGGTTTTTAAAGAGAAAAACTGCAAGCAGGGTGGCACAAGCCTTTGCATTAAATGATTGACTGAGGGTATGTAACCTTTGCATTTACTGGTTGGGGGTTGCAGTTATCATTTTTGGGCAGGCCTGGACAAGTCCTAGTCTTTGTCCTTGAGCTGCCATGGAGGCTGGCTGGCCTCGCACGTTCACATTGACCCATGCACGTAGCTCTAAGTTGGTGAGGGGTCCCAGACAGTAAACAACTGACTGAACCTTGAACAGTCAGAGTACAAGTATGTACAGAAAGGGAGTTACTGTATGGACTATGTCTTTTGTTCATGGCCCTCCCAGAAACTGTTTGCTCAAGTCTCAGGAAGCTGCAACTGAGGCCTGATCTCTGAGAGAAGACTGACAGCCTGTTATGGCGTCTGCCTGGTCCTTTCAAGGGCACTTACTAATATTATTCTCCTCTGAAACCTCTTGTGTCCAGTTGCTTTTCTAGTCTAAAGTCCCAAGGTGTGCCATATTCCTAAAAAAAACAAAAAAACAAAAAACAAAAAAAAAAAAAAAAAAAAAAAAAAAAAAACACAGTCAAGCCTATCACAGCAGTACCCCAGTTCCTGGAACCAAGTTCTCTCTTAGTTAGGATTTCTATTGCTGTGAAGAGACAACATAACCAAAGAAACTCTTACAAGGAAACATTTAATTAGGACTGGCTTACAGTTCTGAGGTTTAGTCCATTATGGTCATGGCAGGAAGCATGATGGAGGCACACAGGCAGACATGGTGCTGAAGAGGGAGCTGAGGGTTCTACATTTGGATCTGCAGGCAGACAGTAGGAAGACAGGGAGACACTGGACCTGTCTTCAGCATCTGAAACCTGAAAGTCCACCTCCAGTGACGCGCTTCCTCCAGAAAAGCCACACTTCCCAATACAGCCACTTATTACAGGCCTATGGGGGCTATTTTCATTCAAACCACCACACTCAGTGAAAACGACCAGCGAGTGGATGAGTCCAACATTATTGAAACCACCAACCCCAGAAGTGCCCAGTTCCCCTGCCTGCTCTCCAGTCTATACTGCCTCCTTGTGCACGGCAGAGCACAGCTCTCTCACCTCACTGGGTGTTAGCAGAAAACATTATCTGGATGCAAACAGTTTGTGTGCAAAAACATCCTCTAGTTAGCAGGATAAGTAGGGACTTCCCCAGGCACACTGGGGCGTATAGGATGCCTGTTTACAGCAGCTATGTTTACCCATGCTCATTAGGCTATGAGACTCCTGGGTCTTTACCAGTTCTTAGGGAAAATCCACTTCTTTAGCTCTTTACTTCACAGGA